TGATAATTTATCGTAAAAAACATAATAATGACTTGATTAACACGCGGGAGCAAAACTTGCAACCAAAAGTTTTTTTTTCCCCTCCTTAAAACAGAAATTCCCATTTTAAAATTTTAATAATTTAAGGTTGCGTATATTTTTAATTAAATTAGTAATAAAAAAATTAAACACTACATTTATTATAATTTATTTATTACAGAAATTTTTTCCTTACTTACAAAATATATCCATTTCTTTTACTCATGTACTCGTTAATTTTTGTTCAATTTAACATTAAAATCGTTCTCTTTATTTATTTATTTTTATTTTATACTGTTTTACATGAATTGCGGAAGGAGTTAGTTATCCCTTACCCGTTAATGAAAATCGCCACAACAAAAAAACAAAAAAAAATTAAAACAACGAAAACAGATGCAAAAGCTTGTATGAAAGCAAACCATGAAGTCCACCTTTTGACTATGCATTCCCACAAGAACCAGAATGCACCCCTAACGGCCAAACCTAGATTGTCGTTTTGCAATAGAAAGAAAAATATATTTAAAAAAGAAAAATAAATAAATGGGAATGTTGTGGACAAAACTTTCCGCGGTGATAATGGCCCGTTCTGTCGTATACTAATTTGACCCGTATAACGTGATTTTCCACTGATTCGGATTTACGAACTTAATTTTGATGTTTTTTTTAAGAATAGATTTTGTGCTCTCTTCGTGTTTAGTTGAGAGGTTACACCAATGTCTCTTTTTCCCATTCGTGTTTCGGTTCCGAGCACAAGTGTACTTTTGATATTTAGTCAAAAATATCATACAATTGTCTCTTTATTCATTTGCTTTCAGAATTAGAGAATAAGTGTATTCTCTTGGTATTTTGTTGAGAGAGGGCTCCAATTTAGCCTTCACATCTTTTCTGCCTCATTGTCATTTTTTTTTTATTAACGAATAAAATATATTATTAAAGAAAAAAGATTAAGGATATAAAGGGTATCCAACCCTTATAAACTATGCAAGCACATATATATCCCATGGATCTTCTCACCTCTCATCTCACAACCTTGTACAAATAAGATATATTATATATATCAAATTATAAATACAAATTAGACTTTCTTATAAATATATTAATTAAACAATTATACCACTTGTCTCACTACTAGTGATTGAATGTATCCTCTTATTATTTTTGCCGATAAGGTCAAATAATCAAATGATCCACCAAGTCATTATCGTTCTTAAAAGGTATTATCATGACTTTGATAAGTAATTTATATATAACACAAAATTCAACTATTAATAATTATGATAGAGTACTAAAATATGATACTCATTATCAAGTGAATTTTTACAAAATTGTAAAATTTGTAAGGTTTATAGAGATGTTTAAGGGAATATGGTGATTTTTTCACTATTTTCATAATAATTTTTTTGTTTGAATGTCAATTACGTTCAATAATTTTCATATAAGGAAATTTAATGAGACAAGTTTTAAATGTTGAATCAGTCAAACAAAGGATTTAAAATAATGTTTCAAAATTGAAAATAATAATTATTTTTGAAGGATCAAATCGATCCAAATTTACGAGATAAATGACGAATATGAACATTTTAAAAAATAAAAGGATCATAATGAATTTAAATAATAAAATAAAAGACTAAAAATGTAATTATCTTATATTTATATATAGATATTATTTATTTTAATTATCTTAAAGTAATTAATATAAATTATATTAATACGACAATAATGACGATCATGGTAAGAATAATAATAAAAGTGGTATTGATGATAGTAAATACAATGGTAATAGTAATAATAATAGTAACAATAATGATAATAATGGCAACAACATTAATGGTAATGATGCCTCAAAAAACAACAATGATGGAATGATAGCAATAGTGGAAGCAATGATATGATGGCGATGACATTGATGATGATAATAATAATAGTTGTGATAATGATGATAATAAAGAAAGTGGTGATAATAAGATCAACAATGATAATAAGATCAACAATGATAATGATCATGTTGTTGAATATTATGATATTGATACTAGTAGCTGAAAAAGAAAAGGAAAAATAAAAAAAATTATAATTATTGAGTGATAAATACAAATGAGTATTTTATCTTTTAGTGTGTTTAAAATGAAAGAAATATATAAACTTTTGAATTGAATGAAAATATATGAGAAACAGATAAATGCATAGAGTGAATAAAAATAGGTGAATTATAAAGTGGATTTTAGGAACATTTGATTTGAATTTTTTTTTAAGAAGAAATAGAAAATAAATAAATAAAATAAACTATACCTTTATTCTCACCTACATTCCACGACATTTTCACACTCTTCAATTCTTATGTTTTTTTCCCCTCACATCCTTATAACATATTTCCTTTTTATTTCATTGGTATTGAACAAGGTAATTTTAATTCCAATTCCTCACTTTTTAAAAAATATATTTATATGGTATTTCATTGAAATCAAACAAAGTTAAATAAATTGTATTCAGGTTAAAAAGTTGTCTCATGATTTCTAAACATTTTTTTAAAAAATAATCATGAAACATTTTTTTTAATATTGTTGTGTTAAACTTGTAAACAAATAAAATTGGTCTAATTTTATTATACCATCTCGATAAATCACATAATAAACATAAACATCCAAAAAAAATTATTAAGGTAAAATTTAATTTTAATTAAAATGTAATTAGAATTTATAATGAAATCTTGTTACAATTTTAATTGAGAAATATTATTGTTGTTATTGGATTGCATGTACCCTCTACAATTAGTATCTAGAGTATTCTTTAATAATTGAAGCTCATCCTTCTTCACGTATGTTTGACAAGAAGTTTAAAAAATTTATAAATTTCTTTGAGAAACTTGTTGGCTAGTTTGATTAAATTAAGTATATTTAATAAGAGAACTTATTTTAGAAGTTTATGACTTATTTTTATAAATTAATTGAAGTAGTTTATACCTTATAAATTTTTAATTTTTTTCTCTTTCATTTTTATCCTCATTAATTTATTTGAAATTATTTTACATTTTTTAAATTTATAAAATTATTTTGTTTACATGTGTTTCTCTCATTTTCATTATCAAATAAATAAGTATGTTATTTTATATTAATCAATCAACTTATCAATTAATATTATCAAACACTTTCAATTCAGACGATTATTTTACACAGAAACATTTGTTTCAACTTTCAAGTTATATTATAATATAACTTGTAATAGATAGATAAAAAATATGTTTTCTCATCTTTGTTACAAAGTTACAAATTTTATTTTTAGACATGAAATATTACTGAAAATGAAATAACTTTCACATTACCATGATTTTTATTTCCAAGGAAGAAGGTGAGTAAGTTGATTTCCATAATGTTACAATTACTGTTTTTATTTTTATTTATTTTAATTTTCTCCAAACCCACATTCATAAAAATATTTTTCATCATTAATCAAACACATTTTTTAATATATCCAAAAATATTATTCCCATCATTTATTTTCAGAAATGTTATTCTTAGAAATAAAAGTTAATTAGTAACTCTCTCCAAACTTGTAGTTTTTTTAACTCGTAAATGTAACTTTTAAATTTTCAACTAAATTATAAACTAACTTTACTAAAATACAGTCTCATTTTCTCTAGTGTCCAAGCAAGGTGAGATGCGACTTCGATGCTCAAGTAATAGGCCGTCTCGCAGAATGTAAAATTTAGGGTTTTGCACATATTTAATATCCTTTTACAAATATTGATCATACATTGTTGAAGATATCTATTGATAGGAAGATAATAATTAGTGGATAAGATAAATTTGTTAAAAAAATAATGTGAGATAATTTAGGAAGATAATTTAACAAAAAAATTCATAGCCAGAGAATTACGTCACAATCTTCTTTTCGAGGATTTTGATATTTATCTAACAGCTATTAAGGATAATATATCAATAAACATATTTTACCCACAATATTCCCTAGACAATACAAATACCAAAATCACTTATCACCACCATTCAATATTCACATTATTCTCATGTAAATACAACGGTTAATATACATAATTTATTATCCATATATTTTTTTTGCAAAAATAAAAAGATATTAATTAGTAAATGAGTAATATTTAATGCAACGAATTTTTCCCTTATAACTAGATTTATCATCGAGTCACTAATCAAATATAACAGAAATTAACCATGATAATTTAACAGATACATTTATATTTAAAAAATATTTTTAAAATAAAACTTTAATAAATTCAATGAGTTATTTCTTTTTAAAAAAAAATTACCTTAACCAACATAGTTTATTTTTTCATTTATTTTTGTTGGATCTTAAAACTCGTCTTAGAATTTGATTCAACCCAAAAAAAGAAAAAGCTTACCTTAAAATGTGATTTTAATTTAGAAAACCATAAATCAGATTCTATATACAATTCACCATCTAAATCTTGTGATTATTATAATGCTAATGTATAAGAATAATATATTGAGTCTGCATATGGCAAAAGAAGAAGAATACTAGAAAAGGATTTTGGTCCATTTGGATCATGTTTTTGGCGTTGAACATAATAGCGAAGTGGGCCCCAGCCACAATGAGTGGCGTTTCCTCGGTAACAACTAACCACGTGCTGTTCGAGAAACGCAGAATCGGACACACGTAAGAGTCGCTTTTGTCCATTCATTCACAATCTCAATGGATTATGAGAACCATGTATAAACAGTAATCAATTAATACTAATATCAAGTATCAAAAAAAAAAAAACATTAATTAATAATTTAATATATAGAGTCACGAAAGGTAAAAGCGAAAAGGCAAGAAATTAATTTTTTCTCTTAAAAAAAAAAAAAAGAAAAAAGGAAAAAAAAAAAAAAGAAAAAAGGAAAAAAAAAAAAAAGAAAAAAGGAAAAAAAAAAAAAAGAAAAAAGGAAAAAAAAAAAAAAGAAAAAAGGAAAGAAGAAAGAAAGAAACAAGTCTCCTTACATCTGCACCAAGTCCATATTTCAATTCAATTCCGTGTGCCCACTCACTACATCAGACCGACCACGCCCAATTCCCAATTCCTAATTCCCAAATCCTCTGTTAGGGTTTCTCTCTCACTCTCCCCAATTCATGTTCCCTTATCTCTGATTCTCTCCGATTCGATTCTTCCATGGAACCGCACCTTCAGCACCCCCCGGAACCCCCACCGGCGGAGGTTTCGCTCCGCGGCGCCGGTGACTTGGAGAACTCGCAGCTGCTTGGAGCCCCTGTCGCGGAGGCTCGCGACGTTGACCAAAACGACGGGTCTTGCGTCGCCGTTTTGAAGCGGAAACGTGGACGTCCGGCCAAGGGAGACCGCGTCGTCAAAACGACGCCGCCGGCGTCCAGGCAGAAGAGGGACGAGGAGGATGTTTGCTTCATATGCTTCGACGGCGGAAGCCTCGTCCTCTGCGATCGCCGGTGAGTCGCCGTGTTTTATGGTTCCTCGATTTTTGGATAATTGAGTTGAGGTTTTGTGAATTCTGTTTTCGCTTTGGGGCTTTACACTGCGAGTGAGGGTTTCTTTATTTAGCTGTAATCATTAAAGGGTTTATCTAATTCTCTCTCACACGCTCTCTCTCTCTCTCTTTCTTTTTAGGGGATGTCCTAAAGCTTATCATCCGTCGTGTATTAAGCGAGACGAGGCTTTTTTTCGCTCGAAGGCTAAATGGAATTGTGGTATGTTGCTTTTTAAACCGTGTTCATTCTTTACCTGTGTGTGTTGTTTTGTTGGCTTACCCTAATTGACATGCAACTGAATTGGATTTCGATTGCTCTACGTGTTTTTGAAACAGGAGGAATAATATTAATGGTTGATTATAGTTACTATATTGTGTACTTGGTGATTAATGTTAACTGAGGAGTTCTAATTAAAATACTTGAGTTACAGGATCTTTTACTTGTTTACCTCAGATAATAGATATTTGAATTAAATCAGAATTTTGAAACCGGAAGTTATTAACTTATGTTTTATTGCTTAAATGCAATCTGGTCATTCGTAAATGAAATTTTCCATCGGAACTTTTGAAAATTAAAGATAGGGCTGATCAACTGATGATATGATTGTGTTGTGGGAGTGTTAATTTGGAAGGGTGGGGGAATGCATATACTACTGATATGGGAGCCTCTTGCATAGATTGTTTTATATAGTAGCATGTAGATTTCCTTTGCACGTTTCTCTTCTTTTCTGTGTTTTTGTTTAGAATATTTGGATATATGTCTTTGATTATACAGATCAACTCAATGTTCTTCAATGATATTAACTTACTATCTCTTTTAAAAGAGTTTTGCAATTGTTACATTTGCCAATCTGTGCTCATTCGCTCCTCTTTTAGTTTGTATTAAATGGCATATCTTTCCTCTAATAAACATTTATTTTTCTGTACTCCTTAGGTTGGCATATATGTAGCATTTGTGGGAAGGGATCGCATAATATGTGCTATACTTGTACATATTCTTTGTGCAAGGGATGCACAAAAAAAGCTGATTTTGTCTGTGTCAGAGAAAATAAAGGTTTGTGTGGAATCTGCAAGAGGACTATAATGCTGATAGAGAATTGCGACCAGGGAGATAAGTCAGTGGTATGTTAAATATTCTTATATACGATACATGATTACTGACCCCCTTCTGTGTGTTAGGGGAGGTGGACTAAAAGAGGGATGGGTGGAACAGTTTACTTAATGATACGTGATAGTCTAATTCTTTTCTTTCGTTGTTACTTTTATATAGTGTGATGTGGATTTTGATGACAAGAGCAGCTGGGAGTATCTTTTCAAGGTGTACTGGACTTATTTGAAGGAGAAGCTATGTTTGACTTTTGATGAGATCCTTCAAGCTAAAAATCCATGCAAAGGTACTGTTTTAGTTTTATTGTTCTAACTTCCTATGAACTTTATTTTCTTGTATAGACATAGAATAGAATCAAATAATTTGATAAATAAGGCTAAGAGAAGTAGTTATTAGACATAATTGGGATGGTTTCTCTAATGCAGGAGTTGCAAGATTAGAAGCATCTGTTGCTGCTGTGGATGTTTCATCACTAGTCTCTTCAGGGAGGGTGCTGTCTATCAGTGATTTTGTTGATGATAAACCATGGCACTATCAGGATCCAACCGGGAAAGTTCAAGGACCTTTCTCTTTATTACAGCTGTATAAATGGAATGCAAGCGGGTATTTTCCTCCAGATCTCAAAGTATGGAGGATAGATGAGACACTAGATAACTCTACATTGTTAACTGATGTGCTGAGTGGGAAGTATTCAAAAAATGTGTCATTGCCATACAACAGTGAACAGCTGTCTTTGGGGTCCAATATTACTTCAGAAAATAAGGAAAATAGTCAGGATTGTGTTGAGAACGTGACAAGGAATGAAAATTCTGCAATCCACCAAATTGTCGAGCATGGTGGGGAGCAAAAAGTGGCCAATACTAGTACACAATCTAATGGTAAAGATGAATCTGTTAGGAGCAATGGTTGGCATTCTCAGTCTCCTGGTTGGACTATACAAGCAGATGGGAATAAAAATGAGGGGCAAAGCGGAAATTTTGAAAGGAAGGAGGAGTCATCCAAATGCGAAATTTCCTGTCATGACGCCCCCCTTGTATTGTCTTCTCAGGACTGCCCACCAGTCAACTCTATACCTTCAACTGCATTTTCTGAGAAATTGAATGAGAATCCTTCTGATAAATTAATGGAAGTTCAGAAGATTGAGATAAAGTCTCCAGATGATGGAAATTTTGACTTAAACAGAATTTCTGAGGGTCAAAGTAACAGTGGGCAATGTTGTCAGAAACAATCAGAGAGTGAGGAGAATTCAGGGCTATCTTCTGGTCAGAACTGGAGAGCCCCTGATGTAGCTCATCCTGATTGTAACAACTTAAATACATGGCTGTGTTCAATCTTTGGCGAAGCAAATGATTTGGAAGAGTCAGTTTCAGATCTGTTGGCTGAAGTGGAGGCAATGGAAACATTTGGTGGCTTGGAATCTCCCACTTCAATCATGAAATGTGGCGAGGAGTTGGCTGACGGTTCTATAACTGATTGTCTTAGTTTTGCAGATGAGTTTAGCCCCATGCTTGAAGCAGGTAAAGGAGATGCACTTAGCTCCTCCGGTGATTTACAATTACCATCTCAAACCACAACACCAGATGAACCGTTTAAGCAAGCGGATGTATATCATCATCAAAGAACATCTGCGGAGCATTCATCAAAGGGTTCAGAAGTTGAGGTGCGTACAAAGAACAGCATCAGTCTATGAAAACCCTTCCACTAGTTTCATATTTTTTTAATTTACTTTTAAAAATTACCTTTTTGTCGATCAGAAAGTAGAATCTAACCTATTAATTTGATGCAGTCTACTTTCTCAAAGATTAGCTGGAATCCAACCGTTCAATATTCCTGGGATCCTAATTGTAAGTTAGTTCTCCATTTTATTTGCTTTGCATACTATTTTAACAAGTTGCTATTATATTTTGTATAATTAGGATATTTCATTATTTTGCTAGCATCATTCATGATTTACTGAATTTGGATATTTTTCTAAATTGGCTCTTTGGATTTGCAGGTTGACCTGACAGATTATGTTGAAGGGCCTTTTTCTTATCTTTAGGCTACACAGATCTTAGATAAACTTGAATTGGATACATATTATCCTGTTTATAACAGCATTCTTTGCAAACAGCAACCTTTCGCCTTCCATCGTTGTTTGTTTGTTAATTAAGAAAAGAAAGAGCGTTAGGGTTTTTCGTAGTCTTGTCTATTCTGCTCTGTAATCTCATTGAATTTTAAATGTGAAGAACTCCCTTAGGTTTCATTGTCGGACAAATCGGTATTAATCTTTCCTTCAAAATTTCAGAGAAACTAATAATTTATAGTATACATATTTTCTTCAAAATCCTTAGATTCACGACATTTTCTTAATGTTTTATTTTAGTCTTTACTATTGAATCTAGTTTGTTTAAAGCTGATTCGAGTAACAAAGTAAAGAATATTAAGGTAATCAAAGTAATGTTTTATTAGTGTCATATTATTTAAACGTTAATGATTAATATATTAATTTGATGAGAAGACTAAATTTTATATTTTAAAATTTAAGAGACTAAATGTCTTGTCTTTATTTTGAAAGAGAGAATTAAAATTGTAGATCAATGAAAATAAAAGAATGGAAAATGTAATTTAATTTAATTTTTAATATATTAAAACATTTTTGTTACTTTTAATATTATATTAACTTTTTAGTTGACTAATTTACTTTTAAAATATTACTGCTGTGTAAGACATAATCACTACTTGTAATATTTTTAACATAACTTATATAATAATTAATGAATTAAGATCTTCTTTAGAAAAAAATTCTCTCTTGGAGTAATAGGCCCTTATCTAGAGCTGGGAAGGAGGTTATACTCAAATCTATTTTGCAGGCTATTCCTTCCTATGTCATGAGTATCTATCTCCTCCCTCAGACTCTTTGCTTGGAGCTTGAGAGAATCTTGAACAAGTTTGGTGGAGTTCGAACTTGAGTTATACCAAAGGAATTAACTAATTACATTGGGAGAATCTAGCCATTAAGAAGGATTATAAGGGCATCAGTTTTAGAAACATTCACGCTTTTAACTTGACGTTGTTGAGTAAGCAAGTCTGGCGCTTGATATACCAATCTTGATTATCTAATTAGTAAACTTTACAAAGCAAAATATCATCCCAAATCAGATTTCTTGACTGCTCCTTTAGGCTACAATCCTAGATTCACCTAAAAGAGTATTTGGAGCTCTAGACCTTTTTTTATTGATGGCCTCCATTGGAGAGTTGGTAGTGGGAAAAAATTCCTGTTTGGGGTGAACCTTGGTAAAGACAAAACTCCCATAAAATAAGATCAACTCGTCTATTATTCCCGATTTGCTTGGTAGGAAAGTGAATGATCTCATTGATCTAGATAACTATTGTTGGAAAATTGATACTATGAAAGACATTTTCAATGAAAAGGACTATGTTGCTATCCTTAGTACCCCTCTGGTTGATGTGTTTAGTATCGATCGGTGAATATGAAAATGGAGTAGAAATGGTTGTTTTATTGTTAAATTTGCCTATCATGCATGCATGCGTCATGTCTTGAATTATAACCATATATATACTATTGGCACATGGAAAGAGTTGTGGAAAGACTTCCTTTGGCGTTCCTTATGAAATTACTAATTTGTCATGTTAGCTTGGAGTATTTAGACAAGTAGAAATAGGATCTCCTTAGAACCCACAAGAAATAAAGTTGAGAGCTAAAACCAGTCTTGCTGATTGGAATTAGGTGTGCAACCACAAATTGTTATCCCAATAAACCACCAGACAACCTCATCTCTCTAGGTGGATTCCCCACAAAGCGGATGAGCTCAAGTGCAATGTAAATGCAACTTTGTTTGTTGCTAAGGATTCATTTGGAGTTGACTTTTGTCTTCATACTGGGAAGACTCTTTTATGAAGGTTAAGACTAACTTTTATCCATTTATGCTCGAGCCTCATGAATGCTAGGCATCTACTTTTCTTCAAGCCCTCGAGTGAGTCTCAAGTTTTCAATTGGATTCAATTTCCTTTGAGGTGGATTGTCAACAAATAGTTACAAGTATTAACCATATTCATTTTGATCTTACTAAATTCGGTTCCATCATTGGCAAGTGTAAAAACCTATTACTTTTCCTTAGTAATTATAAGGTTTGTTTTGTTAGGAGAAAAACAAATTCGGTTGCCCATCTTTTGTCAAAAATAATTAATTCATATGCTGATTTGTATAATTTTAACTATATTTCTCATTGTATATTCCAAAAGATTATGAATGAATTGCATTAAGATTGTTTCTTTTAAAAAAAAAAAAAAAAACTAAAATTAAACAATTAAAGTTAATGGTAAGAATTAAAAAAATGCAAATGATCTAAAATAATAAAAAAGATTATTACCTCCATTCTTATATATAATACATAATTATCTAATTTACTAAGATTAATAAATTTTTTAGCTAACTTATTTGATAACATTAAATTTATCATATATATATATATACGTCAATTTTAATTAATTAAATAAAATATTAAATAATTTAAAATTTATAAATTTAATTTATGTATTACTTTTTTTTAATATAATAATTAAATTATTAAAATTTAATATAAAATATAAATTATTAAGTATAATAAATTTAAAAAATTTAATTTTAAAATAAATGGATATCTTCCCGTATAAGTTAATCACCTATACATTAACAATGTAAAGTTTTTTTACACTGGTAACTAATTATATCTCTTAATTGTGCTATGTCATTATAAACATTACAGTGTAAAAAAAGTTTCACACTAACGGTTTATAAGTGATTAACTCTTATTATATTTTAATTTAATTCTATTTATACATTCAGTTTCCTTGTGTTTCTCACGTTTGGTTTTAATAAAAGTTTATTTAAATAAACTAATAAGACTTATTCATGGTGCCAAATGCGAAGCAAAAGAAAAAGGTTTTTAAAGAAAAGAAGAAAATGTGGTAGAGAAAGAAAAGAATTTTTTGAACGAGTAATGTAAGAAAACAGAGAGAAAAGTCTGTGAAATTCCGAAACGAAGCGCGTGCGAAGAGAGAGTGAGGATTAGGAAGTTCCTTCACCTCGACGGTACGGTGAAAGAAGTGGGAGAATCAAAATCAGAATTGGCGTGATCAAAACGACGACGATCTGGTGTTGATGGCGGCGACGTCGTATCTGACGGCGACGCAGAGGTACGCAGCGGGAGCGCTGTTTGGGCTGGCTCTGCATCAGGCCCAACTTCACCAGACTCACCCTCTGGGCCTATCCACCGACGACTTCCCTTGTGAAAGTGAAAGCCCTGTCGCAGTTTCCGAAGACCCCAACCTTTGGGCCCATCACCATTCCGCTTTGCTCCGTCCTGTTTTCAAGTATGTCTTCTCTTCTCTTCTCTTCTCTTCATTCATATTCCGAATAAGAGAATCCAATTGTTGTGGCTTGTGCGTGTGTCGAGCAGGTACCTAGATATTGATTCCGCAGCTTGGTCTGGACTCGAGGAAACTGCTGGCTCTGCTTCAGCTACACGTCACGTCGGACCAGTGCGTCTTTCTACTTTTAAGTCCCACTGCATGATTCCATTCAACTTTGCAAAACCCTGTTTGAAGCCATAATAGTTCAGACAAAACGGTTTACATTTAAAGTGTGTTTCTCAAAATTATGAAAATCATACTATTTCAATAATCAATTACATGAATAATCTATTATTATTGTAATTGATTATATTCGAAATGAAATTTTGTTTGGATAAATATTTTGAAAAACGACTTTAAATGTTTAATTCTGTTCGGATATTATAAAAAATCAGTTTTTTTTTTGGTAATATATCAACTTAAAAAAATTTGTTAAAAAATAATTATGTCATAAATTTCCGGCTTCATAAAGCTAGCTTATTTTTCAGAAAGAAGTTGCTTGCAGATTTAAGTGTTGTCTCAAACATTCAGCTTATTTCCAAATAACATTTTGAGTTTTAATTTTTGAATATATATTGGGAATGGGATCTCCCAACTGAAAACCAAACACAACCATAGTATGCTTGTAAATTACTAATAATGTATTCATGGTTTTGCATTCAAATGTTTTGTTACTGACTCCACTTTTTCCCTTCTCTAATAACTGCCACATTGGATTGAGTGTCTTTTGTCTAAAAAGTTTGGTGCTGCATGGCATCACTCTTTTTGTTATCATTTCTTTTATAATATGCTTTTTTCCAAGGCATTACTTAAGGATAATGTATGTGAATTTCACAGTTCTTGAGACTATTATCAGAGGAACTTGATGATGATTCTTCCCAAAGGTCAGATCAAGAACTTGCTTTGTCAGAAGCCGTTGATGCCATGGTACTTAGGCTGGAAATGAATTCAGATTCTCCCAGGTCTAGAAGGAAAAAGTTACGTGAATATGAGCACCAATGCCGTGAAAAGTTTTCAACTGCTGATGCTGAACCAAATTCTGAGAAGGTAGATATAAAATTAGAAACCCAGTCGAGGACAGGTACAAGTACTCCTTTCCTTGACTGTGAAGAGCCACATGAGGGATCTATCGATGGTTATATTGATGAGTGTCCAGTTGAAGAGGTAATGATTCTCAGCTATCAGAGGAAGCTGACAGTGCTCTACGAACTTCTCTCTGCCTGTCTGTCAGATTTAGACGAAAATAACAAGAAATATAGGCAGAGGAGAAAGGGCTATGATGCTCGACATCGTGTCTCTCTACGACTGCTGGCAACTTGGCTTGATATCAAGTGGACAAAAATGGTTGGTGAACGAATCATTTAATTGGTAACTAACATAGTAACATGTGATTTGGGAAAAAACTTTTGATAAATTGAGGCGATCATGAGATATAATTGTAGGGGAATTTTTTTTTACATGGCAAGAACTTCACTTTGGTGAAAATTGCCTATACACTCCCCCTTGATATTTAAGTTACTTATTCAGCCTACTTCTATATGGGGGGATATACTATAAGCTTTGCTTTAAATCGTCTCTTGTTAAAAAAAAATCACTTTTATTGGTTCCATATTTTCTAGTGATGAAGATGAATCTTCACTTTGTAGGAAGCCATTGAGACATTAGTTTCTAGTTCTGCAATGGCTTTCATTAAAGAGCAAGAGTCAAGTAAAGAAGAAACTCAGGCAAAAGAAAGCAAGTGGGCTAAATGGAAGAGGGGTGGTATTATTGGTGCTGCTGCCTTAACTGGGGGAACTTTGATGGCTATTACTGGTGGTATGAATACCTTAACATCTTTTCTGTGTTCTGGAATATATAATTACAAATTGAATAAATTTCCTTGTAGATTGAATTTGATTGTTTTTGTTTTTATGCATCAAACAGGATTAGCTGCCCCAGCAATTGCTGCAGGACTTGGTGCTTTGGCTCCAACTTTGGGTACTCTGATCCCTGTTATCGGAGCAAGTGGATTTGCTGCAGCTGCTAGTGCTGCTGGAACTGTTGCTGGTTCTGTTGCTGTTGCTGCATCATTTGGAGGTATATATTACTTATATGTGATTGGATTTTACTAGAGTCTTCTCATGTTGTTCTATTTAGTTTATTTCTTCAATTGATATAGAAAGTGAGTAGCCTTTTGTGAATTTCCAGTGTTGTTTAAGGATACTATCACGGCCACAAACTAGTTAGTCATTATTCATACGTTTATGCATCTTAGTGGTGCATTATGTTCAATTTAGGGTTTTGGGTTGGTTCTCAATATGGTAGTTTTTGTGCTACATTACTGATCAACTTGCATTTTTGTTGCTACAATTTACTGATTAACAAGCTTACAGTTATTGCTTTATGGCGTTGTTTGACCTTGTAACCAATACACCTAGTAGAAAAAGGCTTGGTTATTTACAGTAATTGCTTCAATGAAATAAGTTAGATAACTGTCAGTCAAGCTGCAAAAGGAAATCTTTGAATGGCCTTTTTCAAGAGGAGTTATAAAAGTTACATGGGAATTTTCTTTAATCTTAAATAATCCGGAGTTAAGCATGCATGCCCTTTAATACTGCCTATATGTATTATCCAGAAGTCAGTATGTTTGCTTTAGTTTGGCCTTTGGCGTTGAAGTAGAATTGATTTTGAAAAAACTGAGAGAGAAATTGCATTGAATGTGTATTTTTCATTAGAAGGTATGATAATTGATTTCTAACTGTGACACAAGTGGAGACTACGTTTAGCCATTAATATACAATATTCCTTTGCAGCACATGCTAGTTATATATTATTGGGATATGTTTATGATCTATAGGACAAACAAACAACTCTCTTTTTTTGCAGTTTTTTCTTCTTTACTGTAGTACTTTTGGTGTTGCTCCTGTTTTATATAATGAAAATCTTTTATATATCACTTTGTTTCACTAGCTGCTGGAGCTGGACTCACTGGAACCAAAATGGCTAGGAGAGTTGGGGATGTTGATGAGTTTGAATTCAAAGCTATAGGAGAAAACCATAACCAAGGTGTAAGTTTTTATTGATTTCACATTTCCACTTTCTGGTGACTATTTCTTACCTGCGTTATGATCTGTATACAGAGGAGAACACATGTGTAAACTTTGTGTAACCTTTTTTATATTATCTATAACTATTTTTGCATTTAGTTTATTGATTCAAATTAGATTCTTATTTGGCTTCTACTCGTAGAGGCTTGGGGTTGAGATCATGATCTCTGGATTTATCTTTGAGGATGACGATTTTATAAGGCCATGGGAAGGACTGAATGACAACTTAGAGAGGTACACTACACATAATTCCCATTTTCCTTCTCCTAAAATGGTTATGTTTGGTTAATCATTATTAAGGGAAAAGTAGTTGATAAAATTGTGAATATTCTGGTTGAATATGATTTTTCATTGGCCAAGGGCAACATTTCATGCAAAAATACGGTATTAAGTTTTATCACAATTTTCTGCAGTTTCTCTTCATTTTGAAAATTGTAATATTTTTGACCAACTTATTTTGGAGAAATAACCCCTTATTTTTACTATCTTCCTAGAGAGTTTTGAAAATAGGTGATTATTTCTCCAGAAGAAACAATTGTTTCCAAAGATCAACATAATTATGAACCTTGCTACACAAATGACATTTCATATGGCCTTGCTAAAGTTAGGTATGCACTACAGTGGGAGTCCAAGAATCTAATTGCCCTGAGCACTGCAATTCAGAATTGGCTTACTTCAAGTAATTGGTTTGGGTTCCAGGCTGCTTTTACTTGGGATTTGACTCCTCTAAAGCGGTCTTATCACTTTAAAGAACAAAGTGACCACATCTTTACCGTTAAATATTTAATGGCTCAAATTTAGTTATAATTAAAATTTTGCAAACTTAAAAAAAATTAAAATTAAACAATCACCACCATCGACATTGTTGCCACCACCAGCACTACCACTACCCAAACATTATTATTGTCAATGCCACTACTACCATTGTTGCCTCTATTGCCACCCTGTCACCACCATTGCGGTAGTAATGATGATGACAGTGGCAACAATGGTGGTGCAGCGGTGGCAACGCTGGTGGTAGTGACAGTAGTGCGACGATGATGAAAACAACAATTGTGGTAACAGTTATGGCAGTGATTGTGGTGATGTTGGTGGTGCTTGTGGCAGTGCCGGAGTGTGCTCATAAAAAGGGAAAATTTTAATGTGCATTATTTTGTTTAATTTTTTTATTTTAAGTTCTCAAAATTTTAATAATGATTATATCTGAGTCATTAAACTTTTAAATGGTAAAGATGTGATTACTTTATTCTCTAAAGTGATAAAACCATTTTAGACTAGATTAATCCTTACTTATGTGTAGTATATTTAAGTTGAGATGTATATTATTGATGCCATTATTGCTGATTTGCTTTAGGAATTGCAACGGAGCTGATGAAGCAAGGGGCAATGATGACTGTCATGCATGCTCTTTTAACTGCATTGGCTTGGCCAGCAGCATTATTTGCAGCAACTGAATTCATAGACAGCATATGGACAATTGCTATTGACAGGTTTACTCTCATCTATTGATTGTACGCATATAGGACTTTTTCATATTAAAAGGAAAAGTGTTTACTTGCTATTTGTTACTTAATGGCACACATGCAATTCAAGGGTTTCGATTGTTTTTGCGGGATTGCACATAGCGTGAAATTGCTTGGTAATAGTGGATAATGATAGTGTTTTATAAACTTGATAAACAGTCATGGAAGTTGGCAATCGTATTAGACTAATTTGATTTGAATTATTTTCATCTTGGGGGAAGCTTGGTTAGATCATATCATTTATGCTTTTCCTTCCATATAGGTTTGATAACACTATATTATCTTGTTGGGATACAAACAAGATCTTACATTGATAATATAAGAAGAGAACAAATAGTTTATAAAGCATACATACTCCAATAATTGAGAGATCTTTTGGGTGATAACCAAAAGTAAAATTGTGAGGACTTAGGCTCAAAACGGATAATATCTCATCATTACGGAGTTGTGTGTGAAATCCCCCAATAGTGATAAAATAATATATAAAGGTATGTTAGGTCTTTTGTTTGAGGGGAGGATTATTGGGATACAAATATACTTCCACATCGATAACATAAGAAGAGAAATAATAGTTTATAAAACACATACATACTCCAATGGTTGAAAGGTCTTTTGAATAATAACCAAAAGCAAAACTATGAAGACTTAGGCGCAAAGTAGACAATATCTTATCATTGTAAAGTTGTGTGTGAAATAATCTTATAAAAAAAAATAACAAAGTTATAATCCTCCTCTTGATATAAAATATCCCCTTAGACAAAATAACCCCAATACATCTTCCATGTTAAATGTCATCATTTTCTGGCAAGTAGTGGATAAACTTTGGGATGTTGAGTTGTTTTGGCATGCCATGGATGTTATCTGTTTATGTCTATCTCTCTTTTTTAAATAAAAGACTCACGAAGGGGTGATGTTTTCAATTTTTGTCTATTTCAATAAAAAAAATTATTACAGACAGTTTCCATTCTTAGTTTGCAATTAATCCTGTTTGTCTAAGATAATTTCACTTTTCAGAACAGACAAGGCAGGAAAGTTGCTTGCTGAAGTATTATTGGGAGGATTGCAGGGAAATAGGTGTTGAGCTTATTTCAAAGTTTCTTTAAAAATTTAGCTCCTATGAAATTTTGGAATATGCAAATTTTTAATCTTTAAGTTTCAGGCCTGTGACACTTGTAGGTTACTCACTTGGGGCTAGAGTTATTTTCAAGTGTCTTGAGTTTTTGGCTGAAACAGAGAACAGTGGTATGTATCTTTTAATCTTGTTGACTGTCTCTCGAAGGATAAGATTTTTACCCCCTTAAACTTTTCATCAGGTTATGAGTAAACATGTTATCATTTCTGTGGGGGCTCTTGTGTTTATCTGTTAAATAAGATGTGCCGTTTCTTATCGATTTTGAGGTGCTGCTTTTGTTTATTGGCAGCTGAACTGGTAGAGAGAGTTGTTCTTCTTGGAGCACCCATTGCGATCAAGGATGAGAATTGGGAAGCTGCTAGAAAGGTAGATGGGGATGTTAGTTTTTCTCTTAAATAGTAACTTCTCAGTCTCACATGTATGATAGAAATGTAGTTTTCATTAATTACTATGAGATCCTGGTATTCTGTAGATGGTTGCAGGAAGATTTGTAAATGCCTATTCAAGAAATGACTGGATGCTTGGAGTTGCTTTCCGCGCCAGGTACACAAGAATTTAGTGGTAGAACTCTGCGGTGTTGTCGGATTATTCCAGTTGATCAATAGTGCATAAACTATATGAACCGATTAATTCTTCCAAAGATTCACTTCACAATCAAAATTGAATAATGAAAGAATGTTACGAGTTTGTATTCGTGGTTCTCACCACATAATCCTTGGACCAAATAATTTAAATGCAGTTTTACACATGAAGTTGAGTTACGCCATTCTAATTCTGCAATAACAGAGAACTGCATTCCGAATTTTCATCGACTCTGTTTCATCTAATATTGGGATTTGGGATCCTTGAAGTTCTGGTGACCGTGGTCAATTTTTGCATGATACGTTTTTTGTGTGTGAGCACTGTCTCATCTAACCTATCTGGACACAGAAATAGGTGGTAGAATGTCATGTGACTTGACACGGTTGTTTCTTACTGACAGAGCATGCTTCCTAAGTTTGAATAGAATAATTTTAATTATATTTGTAGACTTTTTAGTAGACAGTAGAAACTAATCTATTAATTTTGTGCAGTCTACTTTCTCAAGGATTGGCTGGAATCCAACCTGTCGATATTCCTGGGATCCAAAATGTTAGTTTTTTCACCATTACCTTGGCTGTGCATGACTATTGTTACCAGTTGCTGTTTTTTTTGTTAATTTTGGGTACATTTGCAAGTTGCTATTTTGTCTTGTAAACTAGCATTCATAGTTCATTGGATTCGATTCTTTTTTGTAAAATGGTTCCTTTGATTTGCAGGTTGACGTGACAGATCACATCGAGGGGCACTCTTCATATTTGTGGGCTACACCACGGGTGTTAGATGAACTTGGATTAGATTCGTATTATCCCGTTTATAACAACTTACTCTCCTAACAGTGATCCTTTCTAATTCCTCTTGGTTTGAATATATGTACAACTTCCTAGTGTTCATGTCAAGTGGATCGGATTCTCCCTCAATTCTCCAGAGAAATATACAGTAATAATGGCCTGTTTCATATCTTTTCACCAAACTGCTTGGATTGAATTAACGCCTTGTATATGGATTACTGTTACTGTATAGCCTGCGTGCCACATGAGCAACATATATTATTAAAACTAAAACTCTCCATTGTTGATGTTTTACGATAATGCAAAAAATATTTGCAAATTTTTAATTATCAATATACTTTCGGACAGGGTGATTGCATACGCTTTAAAACTTATCCTCAATTATCATCTTTATTATTGTTACTGGCAGGAATATTGTTATAGATTATAGATACAATATAATTCAAGTTATTAAAAACTCGTAAGTTGACTATATATTAAACTGTCATAAATATTTATTTCTGGCTTACACTTGTGAAATCAACGAAATTTGAAGAAAACAATGAAATGCTAACTGTTAAACGTGAAGTTTAATTAAGCAAGAGTATTATCATCTTGAAAATATATCAAATAAAGGTGTAAGAAAAGTTTCATTAATCTCGATGTCATCTTCTAGGAATTATGTTTGGTTAAACCATGTTGGAAAAAAAAATTATCTGTTTAGCTCATCTAAATTAAGTAACCATAATAAAGTAAGTAGTATCATATGTTGAGTCTTTCATCAACTGTTTATATTTTAACACAATTATGATTTGTTGTTTGTGTATACATAATATTTTCCATTCATTCTTTCATTAACAATTAAAATTATTTAGTTTGTTTCTAAAACCCACTTTAAAAGAGTTTGATTCAAAGATTATGTTGAGATGAATTTGGCTCTTCTATAATATATCTGAATTTTGAGGAACCAAAATCTATTAAAAACCATAGGTTGGATTAGTACGGCTGAAGTTCATACAAGTATGAACAAAATATAGTCTACCTGAATTGAAAGCAAATCAATTAAAACCAATTATGACAATTGATCAATTGTGATGAATCAAACCAATCAAAGATAGGTTAATTTAAGTTTGGTTTGATTTAAAGAGATGTACATATAATAAAATAAAATTAAGAAATTAAAAAAAAGGTTTAAATATGTTTTTAGTCCCTCAAATTTAGGGTAAATCTATTTTTGGTCCCTCAAATTTAAAATTGTTATTTTTAGTCCTTGTAATTTCAAAAAATCTTATTTTAGTCCTTATATTCAAATTTTGTTAAGAAATTTATCAAATATTATTGCATAAAATTTACTTATTCATGTCCCTATTAGTGAAAATATCACATTAAATCCAGTTGATATTGCATAACTATCATAATTAGTCACTTTCAAATATGTTATTAGTGACTTAAGGGACTAAAACAATATTTTTGAAAATTATAGGGACTAAAAACAACAATTTTAAATTTAAAGGACCAAAAACAAATTTGTCTTAAATTTGAGGGACTAAAAACATATTTAATCCTTAAAAAAAATTATAATTATATATTTCTATAATAATGTGTAAATATGAATATTCATAAAAACTAAATTAAAGTATGAAACTCAAACGAAAGTAGAAGAAGTTCATAATTGGTTCAATTGATAAATTATTATGGTTTAGACTATATGTTAAATTATTCAAACTTTAATTAAAATAATCAAATAATCACAATAATTGTAACACACATTTTGTAATTGAAATTTTATCGACTTTACTTTATGATATTTCACACAACTCTTTATTAGTCAGAACTTTTTATTTGTTAAAACTTTTATGGATAATTTTTTTGAAATATCCAACCGTCTATGAGATCATCAATTATTCTCATAAATCAAGATTCTTCAATATATTTTATACTCACTTGCATACTTTTTGAAATTTTTTTTTAAAGAGTATATACTCCTAGATTACTCGAAGTTAAATACACTTAACATAATCTAACACCGATACAAATATTTGAATTTCTCATTGTAGTATGTTGGAGCTATTACAATGATAACAAGCCTCTCAAATTTGTTATTTCTAACCAAGTAACATCAAATACATACCATAAAAAGGGTAATAGAAGTTGCTACAATGCGACATCCACAGAGGAAAGGGCGAGTTAATACTGTTCCTACTCATGCGCATTGATAACCGTGTCAAAGAACCAAAACCAATTGTAGTTTCCTCATCCACCCATTCATTACTTCATTTCAACAAATAACTCCAAATACATGTTCTAACCAACGCTTTTAATTTACTTAGAAAATAGAAAGTTCTTGCATCTTTATGTTCATGTATTTTTAGTGTTCAGCATCACTAATATGATCTTAGGAAATAGTCTACCAAATCTATTGAGAGATTATTGCCTATGTAGAAGTTGGTTCAACACTTTGCTTTAGACCAACGAGTAAAAAAAAGCTTATTTAATATTACTCCTTCCATTACACACACACAATATTCTTAATGGAATATTAATTAATTTTTTTCTAATTTAATCCTTCATAAATTATTTAACAATCACAATTAAAAATAATATATTTATTGATACAATAAAATAATTTTAGTAAAATTATATTAAAAAGTATGTATTTATAGAAACCTCAACTATTATGAGATAGAGAAATATTCCTTTGGACCTATATATAAGAAGAAAAAAAATATAATAATAACAATTTCACCCAAATTAAGAAAGTTAATTAAATGTACTTAATTTTTTCAATTTTACATAAAATATACATTATATCTTCTAAAATATCATTAACTGAATAATGCTCTTATTTATTGTCTTAATAGTATTTTTAAATTAAAAATATTCAATCATATTAACTTGATTAAAATTTCCTTATATTTTACTTTAAAAAATTTAATCATTTCATCATTTTTCTTATCAGTATTTTCATAATTAGTTAGCCCAGGGCAATGATGACAAGTATATTTTTTTTCCTTAGAGCATGAGTTGTCTCTCACTTAAAAATTAAATAAACTAACTTCAATTAAATAAGTTGTATCTCAATATATAACTCAATTCTCACCAATTTTACAATATCAAATTTATGTCTCACTTAAGAAAAGATTTATCCGAATGATTTGCAGAATCTTTGTACTGAATTTTACAAGAATAGGAAAGCCTATTCGGTTTACACAGTCTCTAGAAGATTCGGTTCTCTCTCTCTTTCCATATCTACTATAAGTTCAACAAAAAAAGACCTTGGCATGGGACCATGACTCCATAACCAGGCCTTCTATGGGTTTATACTTTGGATAATAAAGTTAACACAATTGGACAGTCCTCATTTATTGTTATGTTTTTAGGTAAATGGGGAAATAAGAATAATAAACGGGTCCCAGTACAGAGAGATTAGCTTGCACGCACTTTTACTAATAAACCTATCCAATTCAGTTTATCTACACTCTAATAATCAGGATATTTACAATTTTATACATTCATTGCACCTTGGTAGTATAATTATGTGCCTACTCCTGTATTATTAATCAGATTTAGTTGTTTATATATATATATATATAGTGGAGTTCAAGTGTGAAGTGAAGTCTTACATTGGTTAGAGTTAAATATGTTGAGTAATATATAAGTGAGAAAGACTCACCTATCTAATATCTTAAAGTTTCAGGATATGTTGTGGTGTCAAGCTCACTTGTATGACTTACTCTCTACCTATTGTGGAGCGCTCTCCCGATGTTAAAAACTCCCCAACATTGGTATCAAAGCTGATGGTTCGACCAAAGTGACTGGTGATCGGCTCAGACGAGTATTGATTGGATCCAAGAGTGAGATCCTGAATGGAATTGGCAAGAGATCCAAGAGTAGGATCATCCCTTGTACTGAAAGTCTCCCTAGATGTGTGGAGGACGTGTGTCGTTGAAGTGCAACGGCAGTGCAAGTAAGGCCACTATTGAATACTTGTGGACGAAAGAAAAAGCTTCCGCTTGAGGGGGAGCGTAGCCATATGGAAGGGATTCACACTTGAAGGGGAGTGTTGGAATTCAAGTGTAAAGTGAAGTTCCACATTGGTTAGTGTACTTACACGAATCAGGTTGGATGCCTAACTCAGATAAGTCATCTTCTTTGCTCTGGTTTACCCGAGATGATATGAGATCGGTTGCGGGGACGAGTTCCTTCTCTCTGGTCTCCTTGTTCGAGCACCTCGGATGTACCTGCAAAAAGGACTCCGACGATCAAGTTAGTTCGTGGTCCCTCTTTCACATATTGCTTATAACATTACCTATGGTGGGTTTTCGGAGTAACCGTGTAACTGCTGTATGGTTCTCTTCTGGAGGTGGTTGAATTGTGTATGACGTTGTCAACATGCCGAGGTGTCTTGCTGATGTCTCCCCATCCGATGTGACATGTCAGCATTTCATGGTTTTATTTCAGTTTGCTTAAGGGATCACCTCGGTCAAGTCAACTCGTGAACTCGGCTAACTCGGCTCGAGTCAGGTTGGTACATAAGCCCCCCAAGCTCTGAGTGATGTAAGAATGAAAGAGCTGAGGAGAAGAAGGACGTCAGCCGATAACGTGGAAAAGGGGCGTAAAGAGCCATAACGTTACGAGCTGAAGAGGTACACGTGTAGGGTTTGAAAAGTCGTAACTTTATGTGCGTAACAGCTCTATTATGGGGAAGCGGGAGCAGGTACGGCACTCAATCAATATGATTGAGGGTTTTGGTGCAGAACATTCAATGCGAGAGACGTGGAGGGGCGCGAAACGTCGTGTTGAAGAGGCGCAATGCTCGAAAAGGAAACGAAGAGATTGGGAGCGTGTATATATATAAGTGCAGAAGGTGTGAAGGTGGCTACGATTATAAGTGTAGCAGACGAGAGGTCCGTGTAATATCTCCATAGCCAGAGTGGGCAAGTTCTTTCGTGAAGAATAAGGGATTACAGGGAGCATACGATTTCCAGGTATCAAGCGTTATCTCTTGATCTTTGTGTTGTATTTGGGATTGTAATGGGTAAAGCGAAAGATAAAATCGCTGGGAGTAAAGGGAAAGAAGCAAGTGTGCAAAAGAGAGGGGGAAATAACAGGAAAGACTCCCACCCAAAAATCCTTGCCACTGGGTACGAGTGGGTGAGGGGAGATGTAGGAAAATATGAAAGTAGGATTAAGAGCGAAATGGAGGCTAGTGTATTACAGCATAAATTGAAGTTCTGTCCTCCTCCATATTTAGAACGGCTTTCGATTGAACCTTGTTCCGCGGAGCAACGAGTGTTTTTTAAAGTGTCTACTACACGTCCGTTCATATATATGTATCAATGCCTGTGTAGGGATTTAGGTGTGATGATTCCGTTCACCCC